ACATTATGCTGAGTGAAGTATCTCAGTCACAAAAGGACAAATACTGCATGATGCTACTGTTGTAAAACAGGACTGACATTGGGGCTGGGAGGAGACTGAGAAAGATGGGTTCAATAATGTATACTGAATTGAAACAGAAGAGGGAGAAAACTCTGTAAAAGGGATGTGTGATTAGGTATTTTTGTCATGACAGGAGTCTATAGCAAAGGCTACAAGGTGGATTAGACCTGGGGGAGGGTTTGTAAAACAATGAAAGAATTTGTCTTTTCCTTTTCCAAGAGGGTAGTGTACTAGGGGGGAGGGTTGGAAGGGAGAAAAGTGCAACAATGAATGAATGGAAATCTAAAGTCTCTGTAAATTTTTACTGAAATAATAAATTTAAAAAAAAAAGACACACACACACACACACACACACACACACACAAAATCATCTTTGAGACAAAAACAAGCTAAACAGGCATTTTCTGAGTGACATATGTTTTCTGTTCATGCAGTACTTGGCTCTTCAACTCATGGACCACTCACCTTCCGCAGGCCTTCATGGATGAGGTGACCTATGTCTTCTATACTTCTTCCTAATCGTTTAGATAAATATGTGAAGACTGGATCTTCTTTAGGTAGTAAAGGTGCAGAAAGGTTAACTCTCTCTTGTACACCCTGAAGGGAAGATGAAAATGAGCCAATTTTAAAAACATACAATGAAAGAGATTATACGATGTTGTTGTTATGTGCCATGGAGTTGCTGGCAACTCATAGCGACCCTATGAACAACAGCCCTAAACCTGCTTTGTCCTGTGCCAACCTCACTGTCTCTGACACACCTACCCCCATTACACCACTCACTGAATCAATCCATCTCATCGAGGGTCTTCCTCTCCTGTGCTGTTCCTCCACCCTCCCAAGCATTCCATCCCTCTCCAAGGACTGGTCCCTCCTTGCAACATGTCCAAAGTATGTCAGATGAAGCTTCGGAATCCTTGCCTCCAATGAGCAGCCTGGTTTAACCCTCTCTACGATGAACCTGTTTGTTTTCTTAGCAGTCCATGGTATATTCAATACTGTTCTCCAGCTCCACAGCTCAAAGGCATCAATCTCCTTCTATCCTTTCTAGTCAATGTCTAGCCTTCTGATGCATAGCAAGTGATTGCAGAGACCATGGCCTGAATCAGGGGCATCTTAGCCTTCAGAGTAACATAGTTGCTCTTCAGTACTTTGGAGGGGTCCCTAACAGCAGACTTTTCCATCGCAATACTTCTTTTAATTTCTTGGCTACTGGTGCCAAGAGTGTTGATTGTGGAGCCAAGCAAACTGAAGCTGTGAACAATCTCAATCTCTTCACTATCCATCCTGATGCTGCCAATTGGCCCAGTGGTGAGAATCTTTGTCTTCTTGACATTGAGCCTCAATCCATATTGAAGGCTGTAGTCCTTGACCCTCTGCAGCAAGTGCTTCAGGTCCTCCTCAGTTTCAGCAAGCAGGGTTGTATCATCTGCATAAGGCAGATTGTTGATAGATCCTCCACCAATCTTGACCCCACGTTTCTCCTCATAGAGCCCAGCCTCCCAGATAATCTGTTTTGCATACAGGTTGAAAAGGTATGGAGACAGGACACATGCCTGGCATACGCCCTTCCCAATTATGAACCATGCAGTGTTCCCTTGCTCTGTTCTGATGACTGCCTCCTGGTCCAAGTATAGGTTTTGTATTAGCACGATCAAGTGTTGTGGGATTCCCAGTCTTTTCAGAGTTAGCCACAATTTGTTGTTATCCACATAGTCAATAGTCTTTGCATAATCAATGAAACACAGATAGACATTCCCCTGGTACTCCCTGCTTTCAGCCAAGATCCATCTAACATTAGCTACAATATCCCTAGTACCACAAACCCTTCCAAACCAGCCTGCAGTTCTGGCAGTTCACTGCTGATGTACTGTTCCAGTCATTTTGGATAATCTTCAGCAGAATTTTTCTTGCATGTGCTATTGATGATATTGTTTGATAATTTCCACGCTTTGTCGGATTACCTTTCTTTGGAATGGGAACAAATATAGATCTCTTCCAGTCAGTTGGCCAAGTGTTGTCCTCTAGATTTCTTGGCACAGCTTGGTGAGCACATCCAGGGTAGCATCTGTTAGTTGAATTATATCAATAGGTAGACCATCAATCCCTGGGGCCTTATTTTTTGAAAATTCTTTCAAAGCAGCTTGAACTTCTTCCTTCATCATCATAGACTCTTGTTCATATGTTGTTTCATAAAATTCTTCTCTGTCTGCAAATTCCTTTTGGTACAATGACTTTGTATACTTTTCCATCTTCTTTTAATACTTCCTGGATCATTTAATATTCTGCCCAAAACATCGTTAAGTATTGCAACTCAGGGTCAATTTCTTCAGCTTAAGAAATGCTGAGCAAGTTTGGCCCTTTTGATTTTCTGACTATAGCTCCTTGCATATTTCATTGTAATAGTTTACTTTGTCTTCCCACACTGCCTTTTTAAATCTTCTGTTCAGCTCCTTAATATCTTGACTTCTTCCCTCTGCTTTGGCTTCTCAGCAAACTAGTGCAATATTCAGAGTCTCTTCTGACATCCATTTTGGTCTTTTCTTATTCCTCTGTCTTTGTAATGACCTTTTGCACTCTTCCTGGATGATAGTCTTGATTTCCTCCCATAACTCATCTGGTCTTCACTCATTAGTGTTCAGAGCCTCAAACCGTTTCCTGAGATGGCTTTGAAATTCTGGTGGGATAGACTCAAGGTCATATTTTGTTTCCTGTGGACTTAATTTTCCTCAGCTGCAGCTTGAACTTGCATATGAGTAGTTGGTGGTCTGTTTCACAATCAGCACCTGGCCTAGTTTTCACAGCTGATATCGAGCTTCTCCAGCAGTTCTTTCCACAGATGTAATCAATCTGATTCCTACGCATATCATCAGGTGAAATCCATGTGTATAACCTGCATTTATGTTTCTTATAAAATGTATTTGAAATAAATAAATCACTGATTATGCAAAATTCAATCATTCTATAGGAAGGATAAATAATTCAGTATTTTATAGTATTAGTTTTGAAGGAATTTTAAGAAATAGACTATATGGATGGCTGTTTTGAAGGACAAAAGGACATTTTTATAAACAAAAAAAGCTCCAAGAAAAAAAGAAGTGCATGCAAAAGAAAATCCCCAAAGCTCTCTACTCACTCTTAAGTGCTGAAAAGCATGGATGCTATATGGAAGGTCTAGAATTTTAGTGCAATAAGGTTGCTCAGGGTCTGGAGGGACAGGAGATTCTGTGTCTATATAATCTTCAGGGCTAAAATAATAAAAAAAAAACACACAAAATAACAAACCACAAACAAAAAACAAACCTAGGAAGCAATTAATCCTTAAAAGATGAAGTAAAATGTTACTTTACAAATTTTTCTATAACTGAACCACATTCATACGGCATCTCAACTTTACAAGTAATAGTTGTAATCTTTCATTACTTTTCAATTAGCTATTATTTGTGTCAAATATTTTAAGCATGACTTTAAGGGGAAAAGAGAGAAAATAACTGACACTCTAAAGAATAGTAAGATATTACTCTCTATAAAAGGTGGTACACTGCATTGTTTCTAGAACTGTTAAACCAGTTTATACCACTGGCAATCTATCTTTTCATAATGTTAATAATTTTTTAGTATTATCTCAATTTGACAGATGAAAAATGTAAATGGTTTAATTTACACTTATTTCTTCCATGTGGTGACTGGCCATTTGCATTTATCTTACTATAAAGAATATAGTCTTCTCCAATATTATTCAAAATGGTTGGCTCTGGAGAACATTATGCTGAGTGAAATATCCCAGTCACAAAAGGACAAATATTACATGATGCCACTGTTGTAGAATGGGACTGTCCTTGGGG